TGTGAACACATGTTTGTCTTTGGGGGGGGCTATAAACCTAGAGTGGAATTGCCAGGTCATATGGCAACTCTGTGTTAAATCTTTTGAGGAACTGACAGACGTTTTCCAAACTGGATGATACACCATTTTACATTCCCACCAGCAATGCATGAGGGTTCTAACTTTTTCACCTCCTTTCCCACACCTGTAATTATCTGACATTTTGATTCCATCTATCCTAGTGGGTATGAAGTGGTAGTTTGTTGCGGTTTTGATTTGCATTTCCCTGATGGCTAATGATGTTGAGCATCTTTTTATTTTCTTGCTGGCCATTTGTATATCTTCTTTGTCTACTTTTAATTGCATTATTTGTCTTTAGTATTGAGTTGTAAGGAATATGTATATATTTTAGATGTAAGTCACTTATTGTACATATGATTTGCAAATATTTTCTCTCGTTCTATTGATTGTCTTTTATTTTTTTTGGTCGTGTCCTTTCAAGGCAAAATTTTTTAATTTTGATGAAGTCCAATTTTTTTCCTTTGTTCTGTGTGCTATTGGTGTCATATTTAAGAAACTATGGCCTAATCCAAAATTATAAAGATTCACACCTATGTTATTTTATTAGTTACTTATATTTTTAATAAATTTTCCATTTTAATTTTTATATATTTTAAATAAACACTAATTTGAAAAGATACATACCTCTCCATGTTCTTTGCAGTATTATTTACAATAGCCACAATATGTAAGGAACCTAAATGTACACCTATATTCTTTTTTAAAAGTTTTATAATTTTAGTTCTTGCATTTTGGTTTTTGGTCCATTTTAAGTTGATTTGAGATGAGGGTCCAACTTTATTCTTTTGAATGTGGATATCCAGTTGTTCCAGCACCATGAGTTGAAAAGACTTTCCCTCATTGAATTGTTTTGGCACTTTTGACAAAAATTAATTGAGTGTAAATGTGAGCATTTATTTCTGGACTCTCAACTCTATTTCCATGACATATGTGACAGTCCTTATGCCAGTACCACATTGTCTTGATTACTGTAGCTTTGCAATAATTTTTGAAATTGAGAAGTATGAATTCCCCAACTTTGTTCTTTTTGAAGACTATTTAGGCTATTCTGGCTCCCTTGGAATTCCCTGTTTTAAATCTTGAATACAAATAAAAATCCCAAGAAGTGAAGTAACATGACAATACTGAAGTAACTCAAGTTCTGTTTCCTCATCTTTTCAATCAATGTGCTACCACAATTTATTTTAAATCTATTGTTTAAACTGAGGAATGTGGTAACACAGAGGTTGGAGACACAAACGACCCAAAATAAACTGTAACTATTCCAAATCTATTTTAGTAATTTACTTTTGAGATAAATGCAACTATCTATGCCAGCGTTTGTCTGAGGGCCACCTGGGAGTTCTCAGAATCAACTTCCATGTAGAATACATGTTTATTAAAGGACAAATAATAATTTTTTTTGAGGGGAAAGCAGTATTTTTTCATTAATGTTGTTTTGAATTGCTGATGACTGTGTTTTAGTTTTACTACTGTTATAAAATTCTCTAAATTACCTGTCCACTGGGTGGACTGCTCCTATCATTCCAGCTTTGGAAGCCCACCGAGGAGGAGCAAATCATTCTGAGACCTAGAGGAAGAGCTTCCCAGGAAGAGGGAACAGAAGTGTTAAGCCCTTTCATTACAAATGAGTTTGAAAATTTAAGGAACTGAAAGAAAACCACTTTTGTAGCCAGTGCATAGACGGGCCAGGTGAATGGTAAAATATGAGGTTGGAGCGAGTGGCAGCCAGAGCAGTGGCTTATAGGTGAGGCCACCATATGAGTTATAGTTCAAACTATGGCACTTCTGAGAGTGAAAGGCTATGGTTAATTCAGCAAGACAACAGGTTTAATGGGACTGCCCCCAGAGAGTTAGGATGAATAGTCACGCTGCTTACAGGATATGGCATAGAGTTATGTTTTCACTATCCATAGAATCCAACCCAAAAGGACAATCGTGATGAAAGCTAAAAATTCTTAAATGCAGGAGAGCAATACTGTAACCCAACACCATTCGTAATTTGTGAACTAGGGAAGCTGAATAGTATGTATAGTGTAGTGGTTTAGAGTAGTGCTTATCAACTTTAGCATGCATAAGGTCGCATAGAGGGCTTGTCAAACACATGGGTAGGCCACACTCCCTGAAATTATGATACATTCCCAAGTGTATTTCTAACAAGCTCCCAGGTGCTGCTGATACTGCCACCCATGGAGGACGAGACTTTGAACAGCACTGATTTAGATTTCAGAGACTTGGTTTGTATTTCAGAGTTTTTTTGGTTACCAACTGGGTGGCTTTGGACAGTCAAATATTCTTTCACATTTCTTTTCTTCTTTATAAAATGGGGATTGTAACAATCTTTGCCTTATATGAGTGTTGTGAAGAGTAAATGGTATGAGCACTTGGTATTATAAGCACTTAGCAGATGTTGTTGTTATAGTTAAGAAGAAGACTAATTGTGGTAGGTAATACTCATTAGATAAAACTAGGGATGTGTTTCAGATACTGCATTGTAAATCAACTCCAGAAGTACCTAGATGCAGTTGCACATGCCCTAAGTATTAGTGCCTGACACCTGGTGAGCTCTTAATACTTGCTGACTGAATAAACAACTTTGAGAATTAATTTAATAGTACTGTAAGGACTGAAAGAGTTGATCCCATTCTATTATACCTCTTACTCTCAGAATATACAAACCATCACCAAAATGAGAAAGACAACCCACTTCACGAGAGAACATATTCACCAATGATACATCTGATAAGGGGTTAATATCCAAAATTTATAAAGAACTCATATTACTCAACACTAAAAAAACCAAATAATCCATTTAAAAAATAGCTAAGATCTGGAAACAGCGCAAGTGCCCATCAGTAGATGAGTGGATAAAAAAGCTGTGGTACATTTACACCATGGGATACTATATAGCAGTCAAAAAGGAGAACCTCTTACCATTTGAGATAGCATGGAGGGACCTGGAGAGTATTATGCTAACCAAAATAAGCCAGTCAGAGAAAGACAAGTATCATGTGATCTCACTCATATGTGGAATTTAAAGAACAAAATAAACTGATGAACAAAATAGATCCAGAGACATAGAAGCATGGAACAGACTGTTGATCTCAGAGGGAAGGTAGGGAGGGAGGATGGGTGGGAAGATATCAACCAAAGACCTTGTATGCATATATGCATAACCCATGGACACAGAAATAATAGTTTGGTGAAGGCCTGGAGTGTGGAGCAGGTGTGGATTAGAAGGGATCAATAGGGAGAAAGGGGAACATCTATAATACTTTCAACAATAAAGATAAATTTTAAAAAAATGGGCAAGCCCAGCTGGTGTGGCTCAGTGGTTGAGCATTAACCAATGAACCAGGAGGTCCTGGTTTGATGCCAGGTCAGGGCACATGCCCCGGTTGCATGCTTGATCCCCAGTGTGGGGCATGCAGGAGGCAGCTGATCAATGATTCTCTCTCATCTTTGATGTTTCTCTCTCTCCCTCTCCCTTCCTCTCTTAAATCAATAAAAATATATTTTAAAAAAGATGGGCAAAGGACCTGAATAGATACTTCTCCAAAGAGGATAAACAGATGGCCCATAGACATGTGAAAATATGCTCAATGTCACTAATCATCAGAGAAACGGAAATGAAAAGTACAATGTGATGCCACCTCACACTTGTTAGAATGGCTATCATCAGTAAGTCAACAAACAACAAGTGTTGGGGAGGATATGGCAAAAAGGGAACCCTCATGCACTGTTGGTGGGAAGGCTGGTAGGTGCAGCTAGTGCGGAAAGCAGTTACCTGAAAAAAATGGAACTTCTTTATGACCCAGTAGTAGATGAGTGGATAAAAAAACTGTGGTGCAGCCGGACCAGAATGGCTCAGTGTTGAGCATTGCCTAATGAACTAGGAGGTCAGTGTTTGATTCAATTCCCAGTCAGATTGTGGGCTTGATCCTCAGTAGGTTATATGCAAGAGGCAGCTAGTTAATGATTCTCTCTCATAATTGATATTTCTATCTCTCTCTTCCTTTCCCTTCCTCTCTGAAATCAATAAAACTATTTTTTTTTAAAAAGGAGTAAAACAACAAATTCTCCCTTCTCTCTCTCTCTCTCTCTCTCTCTCTCTCTCTCTCTCTCTCTCCCTTTCTTCCCCCTTCCTCTCTGTCTCTAAAATCAATTAATAATTTTTTTTTTTAAAAAAGCTGTGGTTCAGTTACACAATGGAATACTACTGGGACATAAAAAATAAGGAAATCTTACCTTTTGCAACAGCATGGATGGCCTTGGAGAATAATATGCTAAGTGAAATAAGCCAGTCAGAGAAAGACAAGGACCATATATTTCATTTATACGTGGACTCTAATGAACAAAGTAAACTAACAAACAATATAGAAACAGACTTACAGATACAGAAAACAGGTTGACAGCTGTCAGAGCAGAAGGGGATTATGGGGGCTGGATGTAAAAGGTGAAGGTTTAAGCAAAACAACAACAACAACAACAACAACAACAACAAAACACCTCATAGACACAGACAACAATGTGGTGATTACCAGAGGGAAAAGGGGATAGGGAAAGATAGAAGATGGTAAAGGCGGGATAAATGGTGATGGAAGGAGATTTGACTTGGGGTAGTGAACACGCATGCAATATACAGATGATGTATTATAGATTTGTACACCTGATATCTAAATAATTTTATTAATCAATGTCACCCCGATAAAGTCAATTAGAAAAGGAAAAATTAGTTTTATTTAGGTTGCTGTACTGGATTTTAGCTGTGTTAAACACAAAATTACAAAATACTCCTTATTCGTTTTTATGAAAGAAATACTTGAAGAAACAACAACCTCTAATTTCTATAAGAAAAATAATGGACCAAACTACTGTGAAGAGAGACCTGCAGAATGGGACCTGCTGATATTGGATCTGAATGGTTTCTATTTTGTCAGTGGCTGTGTGAGTGTGACTGGAAAAAGGAAGAAGGAAGGAAACAAACATTTTTGAAGACCTGTTATGGGCTAGGTATGTTACCATGTGGCAAGAGGCTTACAGGTACTAACTAATGCAGTGTTCACACCATCATGTGAGATAGGTAGGTATCAACACTACCTTTTTCCAAAGCTTTAAGGGGACTAAGGGAGAAATAGGTGAGATCAAGTTTCTAATCCAGGTGTGTCTACAAAGCCCACTTTTTAAAAAAAATATATTTTTATTGCTTTCAGAGAGGAAGGGAGAGGGAGAGAGAGAAACATCAATGATGAGAGAGAGTCATTGATTGGCTGCCTCCTGCATGCCCCCTACTTGGGATCAAGCCCACAACCTGGGCATATGCCCTTGACCAGAATCGAATCCAGACCCTTAGTCCACAGGCCGATATTCTGTCCACTGAGCCAAATCAGCCAGGGCCAAAGCCCATGTTTTTATTACTATCTTTGGACAGGGCACTTCGATAGAAAGTTACTCTATGGCTTTCCAGCAATGTGGCAGAGTTGCTGCATTTTCATACTTTCTTAGCTTTTAAAAAAAATCCTCACCCAAGGATGTTAATTGATGAGAGAGAGAGAGAGAGAGAGAGAGAGAGAGAGAGAGAGAGAGAGAGAGAGAGAAAGAGAGAGAGAGAGAAACATCCATTCATCCATTGGTGGATCAGTTGCCTCTCATACACACCCCAACGGGGGTTTGAACCTGCAGCCCAGGTATGTACTCTGACCAGGAATTGAACCTGAAACCTTTTTGATGTACAGAGCGATGTTCCAACCAACTGAGCCACCCAGCTGGGGCATAATATCCTAACTTTTAGTAAAGACAACTTAGATACTGAGGAGATTCTGTAGTAAATTGAATATGGTTTCTCTTGCTGGGACTTTATGTTTATCCAGGGATGATCGAATTCATCCCATAATTTTCTGCTTTATGCAGCACCTTACTTTATAATGTTCAGTGTGGAAATGAAGCATTAGTAGCTGGAGTGAAAAATTAAAGAGAACACTGAAAATGTTTTAACTCCTAATCGCTATTTTATCACCCTAAGCAATGTAGAGCAACAAAACTGTTAAGGCAATAATTATTTTTTTGGCTTAATAATGTAGCCCTATATTAGGGCTTAAGCATAAATAAGGCAATGAGAAATTCCTGTTTGATGTAATATTCTTGGGAGACAGTCACCATTTGGAGATGGTCATGTTCTGATGGGCAGCAGCAGAACAGAACATTATCCATGGACTGAGAGCTGGTCATGAGTTGAGACCATTGCAGGTGGTGTGCCTGTGGTTTAAATCATGTTTTATGACCCAACTTTGACACAGTTGAGCCACTTTCCACAATGAATCATTAACATTGCATCTTCTGTCAGTTATAACTATCTCCAGAAGTTACATCTGATGTTACATCTAACATCAGGAGGAAACCTATCCAAGGGTTAGAGGGAGTTAAAATATGTTTTAGAAAACAAACAAAAAACTTACCCGGCCAGTGTGACTCAGTGGTTGAGCATTGACCCATGCACCAAGAAGTTGCTGGTTCAATTCCTGGTTAGAGCACATGCCCTGGTTGTGGCTCAATCCCCAGTAGGGGGTGTGCAGGAAGCAGCCAGTTGATATTTCTCTCTCATTGATGTTTCTATATCTCTCTCTCCCTTCCTCTCTAAAAATCAATAAAAACATTAAAAAAACTTCTTATAAGTACTGCACGCTAACCGATTACGCCACTGGAGCCCTGGCCAGAAAAACTTCTAACTTAGATGTCATTGTAATGCCTGTATAACCCCATGATTTTTCTTATGTTCTCAAATAAATTTGATAAAATTCACAAAGGGACATTACTGGTAACATGATCAGAGTCTAAGAGTGTCATGGGTAATAACTATCCTTAGAATTAGATACAGGGGCTGGGTAAAATGTTCCTCCAGCTAAGTAGCATCTTGAATAACCCTACTTTTCTCCAAACTAGATGAAAGGATCAAGCAGAATAGATAGAGGTAGTAAATAACCATTAAACAACTTAATTTATTTATTCTACCCACGATTTTTTGATTAGTCAAAGGCAAGTATGTCTCTGAACCTTGCCAAGCTTAGTTGACCTTGTTGCTATCCTGTTAACTAGGCACAATTTGGAGCAAGGGATGCCTATAAATCTGTGAGATGTCTTAATTATGGGATATCTTGAATATTAATTTCTATCTGAGATGGCTCTATGGTGAATGAGTCAGTCACCAATAATTATATAGCAGATCACATGGTTTGTTTTACTGGTAAAAGGAAAAATACATAAATAAATACACTTATTTGTTCAATCAGTATTTATTAAATACCTACCAAATACCAGGTGCTTAGTAGTAGTTAATATGACAAACATGGTCCCTGCTCTCATAGAGCTTAGAGTAAAGTGAGGAGACGCTGCACACAATAGTATGTGATGAGTGATACAGTAGAAGTTAAGGCGATTTACAAGCACAGCTGGGACCTTGATCTAGTTTAGGGTAACAAAAGATATCTCTCAAAAAGTGACATTTGAATTGGGGATAGGCAGTGAGAACAGCATGTTTCAGCTGAAAGTATGTCAGGTTCTAGGGACTAAAAGATGCTCAGGATGACTGGAAGGGATACTAAAACTTCAGCAGTTGGGAAGTAGGCACAGGATAGATACAGTCTTTTAAGTAAAGGTGTTTAGACTTGTTTTAGGACAGTGGTCGGCAAACTGAGGCTCGCGAGCCACATGCGGCTCTTTGGCCCCTTGAGTGTGGCCACGAAGTTTCAATCGCACTGAACGTGCGCGCGCGCCCGCACATGGTATTTTGCGGAAGAGCCACACTAAAGGGGCCGCAGTTTGCCGACCATTGTTTTAGGATAATGAAAAATTATTGATGGGTTTTAATGGAGTTTCATGATCAGATTTGCATTTTATCAGGATCACTTCAAAAAGGATTACTCCAATGGCTATATGGAGGGTAAATGCATTGGATAGGAGAAAGATTAGTGGCAAGGATGCTGTTTCAGCAAAATGTGTCAGAGATAAGAATGACTTAGGGTGACAGTGGAGATGGGGATAAATGGATATCAAAGTGATATCTGAGAAGGCAGATTGACAGGGCTTGGTCATTAATTGGATGAGACAGAAGAGTCAAAAAGATCCTTGGATTAATGATTTGGGCTACATGAATAGACACTGAAGGCAAGGAACATAGGGGGAAAGCTGGGATATAGAGATAAATAGGAAATAAGGACATGAGTTCACTTCTGAACATGATGCATTGGATGGCTTATGAGATACCCAATAAGTTGTTTATTAGAAAGTTAGATGAGCAGGTCCAAAGAAAAATATGAAGGTAACCAGCATATGGATGCTAATTGAAGATCTGCAAGTCAATGCAGTTACCCAAAGTGGATAGAGTGTGAAAAGCATAGTGCCAATGACTAAGCCCTAGGAGAAGCATTGACATTTAAAGGACTTTTCTCAAAGTGATGATTTAAAGATAATATTAACCTAGCCGGTGTTGCTCAGTAGTTGAGCATTGACCTATAAACCAGGAGGTCATGGTTTGATTCCTGATCAGGGCACATGCCTGTGTTGTGGGCTCAATCCCCAGTGTGAGGCATTCAGGAGGCAGCCAATCAATGATTCTCTCTCATTATTGATGTTTCTATCTTTCTCTCCCTTCCTCTCTCTGAAATCAATAAAATTATATTTTAAAGATACTAGTAATATTAGATGAAATCATTAAAAAAATTTTTTTGAGATAAAGAGGAAGGTTTGTGAACCCGACAGTTTCCTTTCTTTTTCAGAATTGATTTCCTTTTTACTTCCACCTCAAGTGAAGTCATACAGATTCTAAGTCAGAGTCTTATGTTGTGGTTTAATTGGTTCTTGAACTCAAACCATCTTAAAACATGCAATAAAAAATGGGAAATAAAGGAAAACCAAAGCATGAAATTATCCATGCCTAAAACTTTTTGAATTCAGTGAATAATCAAAGCAATCATAAAAAGCAGGGCTGCCAACATTCAGTGATGACCAAAGAAGGACTTTGTTTTCTTTCCCCCTTTTTATTCCTGACTTCCAATATCTTCTCATTTAAAAAATTCTTTAGAGATAAGGATCTCTTTGTATTCTCTCTCCCATCTTGATCTCACAGGTGTGTGGCAGAAACCAAGAATAATGTCTCCCAACTTGCTCTTTAATGGGTTGGCTTGTGAAGGACTTTTGACTAAATGGCAAAACTGCTCTCCTTTTTTCATGTGGTCAAACCCATGTCCACAAACCTTGATCTTTGGTGTGATTTCAGTGGAACTCTTCCTCCTTCTTAAACACATGGTGGACCTATTCCTTAACCTGCCATATCATCCAATTTTGTTTCTGTTTTCCCCTCTGGGGATGATAACGTGGCTTGCATTCTTTTAGAAGTCTTGGACACCAAGAATGTTGAGGTCAGCCCAACTGGGGAAGTGAAGGAAAGAATGTCTGATAACCCAGTGGTGAAACCTCGGGAGTGTGCTCCGTAAATGCCATTTTCTCCCTGTTTTATTTTTTTTCCTTTTGTATATTAACTACAAACAACCCACAGCCTTTAATAAGCTTCATAAGAAGCCACCAACAAATGTTTAAAGTATCTCAACAAGGTTTCCAAGAAAGTCCTGAATAAAATTGTTTTTGCATCATGACCAATATATCAGCTTTCTTTTTTTTACCTTCTGTCTCCTGTTGATGCAAAATTTACTGAAATCTCAAATCAAGAAATGTAGCAAAATAAATGGTTACACTTATTTCAGGTAATTTATTTTAAGTCAAATAAATGAATGCTTAGTCGGACAGAAAAAGATCAAGGAATGAGAGGCTTGTATGACCTCTGAAGTAATTAGACATTTATGTGTTTTATGGGCAACTCTCACTGAGTATAAAGAAATATCTTTCTTTTAAAAATTTCAAAAACATTTGTAAAATGTCTTTGGATTTAAATCCTTTTGATTTGAGAAGGAAATCAAAAGCCCAATGTAGTAGATTAGCATTGAGAATGTTATTCCCAGCAA